TTGCATCATTCTACTGTAAACATCAACAAAGATATTTCTACGTTAATTGTACCAAACAGGCACATGGTCTGCTGTTCCATCATTCTACTGTATTTCCTTAGGCCAAACAGTGCTTTGAATACAAAGTTCAGAACCAAATGAAATGGAAAAAAATCGACAAAGACATTTATACGTAAATCATACCAAACAAGCACCTGCCCTGCTGTCACATCGGTCTACTGTATTTCCTTTGACCAAACAAGGTTTTGAATACAAAGTTCGGGACAAAATGAAATGGGAAAAATATCAACAAAGACATTTCTACGTAAATCATACCAAACAGGCTCCTGCCCTACCGTTGCATTATTCTACTGTAAACATGAACAAAGACATTTCTATGTAAATCATACCAAACAGGCATCTGGCCTGCTGTTGCATCATTCTATTGTATTTCCTTGAGCCAAACAAGGCTTTGAATACAAAGTTCAGGACANCAAGTCTTTGAATACAATGTTCTGGACAAAATGAAATGGGAAAAACATGAACAAAGATATTTCTACGTAAATCATACCTTACAGGCACATGCCCTGCTGTTGCATCATTCTACTAAAAATATCAACAAAGACATTTCTACGTAAATCATACAAAACTGGCACCTGGCCTGCTGTTGCATCATTCTACTGTATTTCCTTAGGCCAAGCAATGCTTTGAATACAAAGTTCCGAAGAATATGAAATGGGAAAAATATCAATAAAGACATTTCAACGTAAAGCAAACCAAACAAGCACCTGCCCTGCTGTTGCATCGTTCTACTGTATTTCCTTTGTCCAAACGAGGATTTGAATACAAAGTTCGGGACAAAATGAAATGGGAAAAAACATCAACAAAGACGTTTCTACGTAAATCATACCAAACAGACACATGCCCTGCTGTTGCATCATTCTACTATAAACATCAACAAAGATATTTCTACATAAATTGTACCAAACAGGCACTTGGCTTGCTGTTGCATCATTCTGCTGTATTTCCTTAGGCCCAACAAAGCTTTGAATACAAAGTTCAGAACAAAATGAAATGGGAAAAATATCAACAAAGACATTTATACGTAAATCATACCAAACAAGCACCTGCCCTGCTGTCGCATTGTTCTACTGTATTTCCTTTGACCAAACAAGGCTTTGAATACAAAGTTCGGGACAAAATGAAATGGGATAGATATCAACAAAGATATTTCTACTTAAATCATACCAAACTGGCACTTGCCCTGCTGTTGCATCATTCTACTGTAAACTTCAACAAAGATATTTCTACGTAAATTATACCAAACAGGCACCTGGCCTGTTGTTGCATTATTCTACTGTATTTCCTTAGGCCAAACAAGGTTTTGAATACAAAGTTCAGGACGAAATGAAATGGGAAAAACATCAACAAAGACATTTCTACGTAAATCTTACCAAACAGGCACATGCCATGCTGTTGCATCATTCTACTGTAAACATCAACAAAGATATTTCTACGTAAATCATACAAAACAGGCACCTGGCCTGATGTTGCATCATTCTACTGTATTTCCTTAGGCTAAGCAAGGCTTTGGATACAAAGTTCAGTACAAAATGAAATGGGAAAAACATCGCCAAAGCCATTTCAACGTAAATCATACCAAACAGGCACATGCCCTGCTGTTGCATCATTCTACTGTAAACATCAACAAAGATATTTCTACGTAAATCATACAAAACAGGCACCTGGCCTGCTGTTGCATCATTCTACTGTATTTCCTTAGGCCAAACAAGGCTTTGAATACAAAGTTCAGGACAAAATGAAATGGGAAAAATATCAACAAAGACATTTCTACGTAAATCATACCAAACAGGCACTTGCCCTGCTGTTGTATCATTTTATTTTAAACATCAACAAATATATTTCTACGTAAATTATACCAAATAGGCACCTAGCCTGCTGTTGCATCATTCTACTGTATTTTCTTAGGCCAAACAAGGCTTTGAATACAAAGTTCAGGACAAAATGAAATGGGAAAAACATCAACAAAGACTTTTCAACGTAAATCATACCAAACAGGCACATGCCCTGCTGTTGCATCATTCTACTGTTAACATCAACAAAGATATTTCTACGTAAATCATACAAAACAAGCACCTGGCCCGCTGTTGCATCATTCTACTGTATTTCTTAGGCCAAGCAAGGCTTTGAATACAAAGTTCGGAACAATATGAAATGGGAAAAATATCAATAAAGTCATTTCAACGTAAAGCATACCAGACAAGCTCCTGCCCCCGCTGTTTCATCGTTCTACTGCATTTCCGTTATCCAAACAAGGATTTGAATACAATGTTCGGGACAAAATGAAATGGAAAAAAATATAAACAAAGACATTTCTACGTAAATCAAACCAAACAGACACATGCACTGCTGTTGCATCATTCTACTATAAACATCAACAAAGATATTTCTACGTAAATTGTACCAAACAGGCACCTGATCTGTTGTTGCATCATTCTACTGCATTTCCTTAGGCCAAACAGTGCTTCGAATACGAAGTTCAGAACGAAATGAAATGGAAAAAAATCGACAAAGACATTTATACGTAAATCATACCAAACAAGCACCTGCCCTGCTGTCACATCGGTCTACTGTATTTCCTTTGACCAAACAAGGTTTTGAATACAAAGTCCGGGACCAAATGAAATGGGAAAAATATCAACAAAGATATTTCTACGTAAATCATACCAAACGGCACATGCCCTGCTGTTGCATCATTCTTCTGTAAACTTCAACAAGATATTTCTACGTAAATTATTCCAAACAGGCACCGGCCTGCTGTTGCATCATTCTACTGTATTTCCTTAGGCCAAACAAGGCTTTGAATACAAAGTTCAGGACAAAATGAAATGGGAAAAATATCAACAAAGACATTTCTACGTAAATCATACCAAACAGGCACTTGCCCTGCTTTTGTATCATTCTACTTTAAACATCAACAAATATAATTCTACGTAAATTATACCAAATAGGCACCTGGCCTGCTGTTGCATCATTCTACTGTATTTTCTTAGGCCAAACAAGGCTTTGGATACAAAGTTCAGGACAAAATGAAATGGGAAAAACATCAACAAAGACATTTCTACGTAAATCATACCAAACAGGCACATGCCCTGCTGTTGCATCATTCTACTGTAAACATCAACAAAGATATTTCTACGTAAATCATACAAAACAGGCACCTGGCCTGCTGTTGCATGATTCTACTGTATTTCTTAGGCCAAGCAAGGCTTTGAATACAAAGTTCGGGACAATATGAAATGGGAAAAACATCAATAAAGACATTTCAACGTAAAGCTTACCAAATAGGCACTTGCCCTGCTGTTGTATCATTCTACTTTAAACATCAACAAATATATTTCTACGTAAATTATACCAAATTGGCACCTGGCCTGCTGTTGCATCATTCTACTGTATTTCCGTTGTCCAAACAAGGATTTGAATACAATGTTCGGGACAAAATAAAATGGGAAAAAATATAAACAAAGACATTTTTACGTAAATCAAACCAAACAGACACATGCCCTGCTGTTGCATCATTCTACTGTAAACATCAACAAAGATATTTCTACGTAAATCATACAAAACAGGCACCTGGCCTGCTGTTGCATTATTCTACTGTATTTCTTAGGCCAAGCAAGGCTTTGAATACAAAGTTCGGGACAATATGAAATGGGAAAAACATCAATAAAGACATTTCAACGTAAAGCATACCAAATAGGCACTTGCCCTGCTGTTGTATCATTCTACTTTAAACATCAACAAATATATTTCTACGTAAATTATACCAAATTGGCACCTGGCCTGCTGTTGCATCATTCTACTGTATTTCCGTTGTCCAAACAAGGATTTGAATACAATGTTCGGGACAAAATAAAATGGGAAAAAATATAAACAAAGACATTTTTACGTAAATCAAACCAAACAGACACATGCCCTGCTGTTGCATCATTCTACTGTAAACATCAACAAAGATATTTCTACGTAAATCATACAAAACAGGCACCTGGCCTGCTGTTGCATCATTCTACTGTATTTCCTTAGGCCAAACAAGGCTTTGAATACAAAGTTCAGGACAAAATGAAATGGGAAAAACATCAACAAAGACATTTCTACGTAAATCATACCAAACAGACATATGCCCTGCTGTTGCATCATTCTACTGTAAACATCAACAAAGATATTTCTACGTAAATCATACAAAACAGGCACCTGGCCCGCTGTTGCATCATTCTACTGTATTTCCTTAGGCCAAGCAATGCTTTGAATACAAAGTTCGAGAGAATATGAAATGGGAAAAATATCAATAAAGACATTTCAACGTAAAGCATACCAAACAAGCACCTGCCCTGATGTTACATCGTTCTACTGTATTTCCTTTATCCAAACAAGGATTTGAATACAAAGTTCGGGACAAAATGAAATGGGAAAAAACATCAACAAAGACATTTCTACGTAAATCATACCAAACAAACACATGCCCTGCTGTTGCATCATTCTACTGTAAACATCAACAAAGATATTTCTACATAAATTGTACCAAACAGGCATCTGGTCTGCTATTGCATCATTCTACTGTATTTCCTGAGGCCAAACAAGGCTTTGAATACAATGTTCAGGACAAAATGAAATAGGAAAAACTTCGAAAAAGACATTTCTACGTAAATCATACCAAACAGGCACCTGCCCTGCTGTTGCATCATTCTACTGTATTTCCTTAGGCCAAACGAGGCTTTGAATACAAAGTTCAGAACAAATGAAATGGAAAAAAATCAACAAAGACATTTCTACACTTGCCCTACTGTTGCATCATTTTACTGTATTTTCTTATGCCAAACAAGGCTTTGAATACAAAATTCATGACAAAATGAAATGGGAAAAAATCAATAATGACATTTCTACGTAAATCATAGCAAATAAGCCTTTCTTCGTTGACATATAGAAGAACCTTCTCACCGCTCTTGGAATAAGACATTGGCCTCGAAGCAGACAAATTATCATTCGAATTAATCATTATCTGACCAACTGATACGAATTGACTCCAAGATTTCTCAACTCCATACTTCTTCATCACCCATATAACAACATGAAACTTGCTAGTCGTTGCTAAAGAAAGACACCCTCCTAGAACATTCAAATTCATGCTAACATTGTCGATCGGAATATCTTTTGGCAGCATCAACTCATAATGATTCTCATTCACAACACTAAAACCCATCATTCTAAATGTCTTGTCCGAATACACATGGGAAATATCCTGAAGAAGCGAATGCAATGCCCCATTGATTTGTACTTCCCAGCGATGATCTAGCTACGGCAATGGATAAGGAAAACGCGCTACCTTGTTCCAAGAATTCGATCTCAAGCTTAAAATCTCAGTTTCAGAGAATGTCCACTGCCCCGTTGAGTTATGAAATTCAACAACCCGAACAACTTTATAGCATCCTTTCTTGAATCGTAACACAGCCCATAATGCTCTATGGCATATAATGATGAATAATCAGTTGGGATTTCAATCGGGAAGGTGCCGGCTAATTTCTTGCGTCTTCTTGAAAAAGGGTTCCACAGTATAAAGGATTCAGCTACTACCAGAAATAAACCATTGCAATAGTTGGACATGCATTGAAAATCTGTGGAATTAACAGGGGCTTGTATGACATGGGCTGTGTCAAGTGAATCCAAATCTACAGAATAAAGTCCCATCTCCATGCTTCCACAAATGAGGTTGTGATTGGAGCGTGTTGTGATGGATTGATGCAAATGTCTTTTGATGAAATGATCACAATCAATTGTAGAACACCAATTTTTTGATACACGCCTGAATCGCACAAGGGATTCCATTGATTATTGTGATAAGACTTCTTCGATGAGTGCTGAAGGAATCATGTTTCTTTGTTGTTAAAGATTTTCTTGAATTCAAAGGGGGGTTTTGGGGTGTGTTCGAGGCATAAGTTGAATGGGAGAGTTTTCAAATTAGCCTTGGTCAACGAGACTTTTTATAAAAACGTAAAAAGTCAATTTTACCCTTAATGAAATAGATTTTGATTTATTGCAAAATATATCATTTCTTTATGAATAGTTTTAATTCATTGTATCAATTAGCTACATTTTCTTTAAAAATTACTAATAAATATTCAGTTTTATTTTTATTATCGGTATTACTATGGTTATAATTAAAGTGTGCCATCATATTAGTAATTCATTCATTTATAGCTTCTCAAACATTTCCAAATTGCGTAAAAATGAAGTCAAATAATTACATAACTAAAAATAAATAAAAAGGGGGGGAGGGGGGGGGTTAAACATTTAAGAAAGATTCAATTAATAAAAGCAAACTGAAATTATTGAAAGAAACTAAAAAATTTCATATTTCGCCTGTCAAACATTTCCAAAGAATACTCACACATTAAAAATACAACTAACTTTAATCTTGGCTAGTACAATTAAAAAGCTTAAATTACATGAAAATGAAACCAATTAAGTACTTATTAATAAATAATAAAAATGTGGAAAGCATCTAATAAAGGTTCAAAAAACAAAAAATGAAATAAAATAAATGAAAGGGAAAGCTTTTTTTTTTTTTTAATTTCCCTAAATCCAACATTGCCAAAGATACAAGTTCTGATTTTTATCTTGGGTAGTATATAAAAAAGCTCAAACTACATCAAATAAAATCAATTAATTACTTAATTAGAAAGTAATGCAAATGCAGTATACATCAAAAATTCAATTTTAGGAAAGAAACTATAAATATTTAGGGATCAAATATTTCAAAATGTACTTTCATATTCAAATTTCAAAATACAATTCACTCGATAAAACTTTGAAATTGCATGAAACTGAAGTCACTTAATTACATAATTAAAAAACAACGAAAATGAAGTAAATAAATTACTTAATTTATAAATAATGAAAATGCAGTAAACATCAAAGAAAATTAAGCCCTTGTGTGAAATTAATTTTTGAGAAGTGATTTTGTGAAAAAAAAAATGCCTTTTTAGAATGTGCATTAAAAAGTAGAAAAAGTTATGAATCGACGTGCAAACGTATTTTATTCGAAGAATGAGCGATTGAAACTGAGTTTTAAATAATCAACATAATAAAAGAGCTAAAAAAATAAAAAGCAAACTAAAAAATATAAGGAAATCGATTTTATCACATTTTAGGAATTTAACAAATGCAAAGAAAAGATTCGAAATGCAGTTCACCGTACTTTTCAAAAAAAAAAAAACTTTGAAATTACCAGAAAAGATCCTGCTAAAAAGTAGCAGAGAGAATATTTCACAATTTAAGTCACGCATTATTTATTTATCACAATTTATCTATTTCATTGATCACATATTGCTTATTGATCACACGTTAACCAGTTTATTGATCGCAATCAACCATATAATTTGTGACATCACTGCCTCCAATGTCACAGCTTCCAGAACCACCACCAGCACCTCCCGAAAACAACACCGCCAACATAACCACCGCCATTGTTTCACAACCACCGCGACTTTAATGACCACCGCCAGCACTACCACTGTCGCCGCACCACCACCATAACCACCATCAATACAATCCTGTCGGCGACAGCCTCCTTAGAAACTTCTACAAACAATTCCTGATCAATTTCCTTGAGCATGAAACATCACCACAGATCTCCATTCTCGGTTCAATTTCGTTCTTGACATCTTCAAACACTACCACCACTAGATCCAACAAAAACTCTTCGTCATCGTCGTCGTCATCGCCATCGCCACCACCACGGTGCTGCCACCAACACCAACCAGCCAACTTGAGCATGCAATAAAACTCGATTACCAACTTGAAGTTTGAGAGAGTGTTCAATATCTTGATGTCTTGAGAATTAAAGTGAGATAATTGATGACCATATATTCACAATATGAAATCTATGACCCATTTAATATGTACAATCATGACTTCGAAGAATTTTTTCAATGGACAACAAAATTTGTGCTCAATAATTCAATTGAATAAATATTGTAATGTGATCACGGGAGACTGTCAGGTTGAAAATGAAACTGAGGATTTAATGCATATTTGAAAAATAGCATTTTAATCATCTTACATTGTTCCCAATATTCAATGTGATCAATGTGGATAATCCGTAAGAAAAATAAGTCAAAGAACATAAATTATTGTTTACATAGTTTCAGTAATTTCAATTGGACTAAAAATGCAATCTCATCCTTTATTGAAATAGAATGTGATAAATAAATTATCTCAATCAATTGAGAGTTGATTGTGTCAAGATTAATTTATTGGAAGCTTAGTTTAATTGGGTCCGTTTGGTCCCTTCGATGGCCTCAAAATAAGAACCATAAAAAATTATATGAGTTATAATTTATTATTAATTGTAGAACGATTAATTAATTAAATTGTAATGTATCACGTGTGTCATTAATATTTGAATTAGAATTAAAAGGAAAGTCCATTTAGATTAGTATCCTTCTGCAAATATAAAGAAAAAAAAGAGTTCTTTTGAAAATCAATTCCATTCGAAAACGAGAGTTCTTTTGACCAATAATGCTGCATTTTTCTCTGCCTTATAATGTAAACTGCATCTTTTCCACCGGGTATTGATATTGCGTAAAAGGAAGATTGTCATTCATCATTAATGGTGAATAGCGTTTTAGGAAAATGTGTGGTTAAAAAATAGGAAAAAAATTGGATTTACGTGTATAATATTTTATTGTGTGAATGTGTGAAAAAGTTTGAAAAGAATGAGAATCAAACATGGACAATCTCCAAATGTAAGTGACTTGTTGAGCTCAGTTAACCTAAGTAGGGTGAATCGACCTGATCCTTGAAGAACTCCCAAAAGTTTCTCCATTCAAAGAGTACGAACTAGAGTACAAAAGATCGTTTTGGACAATCTTAGAAAATTGTTCCAAAGTTCTTTCCCTATTGGTGGGCATCAATGAAAAAATTCAAGTAATATGCTTATCTCAAATCCTAACCTCTATTGCTTTTGTTTGTCTGAGAACAAACAATATCATAACATGTTTTCTAATGATCAAAATGAATAAAAATAAACATCTTAGAACTTGCAGAAAAAGTACAATTAGTTATAGACTGATTCTAATATATTGTTGGCTTATTTGACATAATTTTTACTTTTGCTTACTGTATAAAAATTTTGGAAGGAAACTAACTGTCTTAATTTTTGTTTGGAAACTAATTTTTAAAAGAGTTTCCTATTTCGAAAATCATTTTAGAAGAAACCATATTGGATCAGTTTTATCTTCAAGCTTTTCTAACTAAAAGAAATATTTTTGAATCGAGCTTGGTGTACCGGGTGGGGGTTGATCGAACCTCTATCGGCACCTCACGATGGGTGGGGGGGGGGGGGTTGGGTGGGATTTTTTGGGTAATTTTTTATTACATGCGGGACCTACCCATGTGAGTTATATGTATAAATTCTGTCAACCTACTTCGGTACAAGTGACTAATTCCAATATTTTTAGGCCCGTTTGATTTGGCAAATTTTCCATGGAAGTTGGAAATGAAATTCCATCTTTCACCAAAAGTCATTTTATTGGAGAAATTTCCTTGGCAATTCATTTTCCATCTTTTGCCTCACACAGTTCCAATTCCGTGGTTTTGAGGATTTGATTTTCCAGTCCACTTTTTTTTTTGCAATGAAAACAAATTATATCCCCAATTGTAACAAATTTTATCCCTTTAATAGACAATTTTCATGTAAAATAAAGTCAAACGAACACCAAAAGATCCAAAATTTCAATATTTTTCACGTGAAAAATTATACTAATCAAACACGGTTAATTGACAATTCCAATGAAAACAATTCTATGCAATTCAATTCCCTGAAATTCATTTTCTTTTCACCCAAATTTCACTCTCACAATCAAACGGACCCTTATAAAATTAACCAAACGAGTTCAGAAGCAGATTTTGGATCTCAAAATCTCCTTTTGACTTTCCTAAAGTCATGCTAAACGAGCACTAAAAATGCATTGTGAAATAGAGAAAGTTAAACACATTATTACAAAGGGGAAAATGCCATAATCAAGAGTCACACGTGTGTAGTACATTATTCAAGTGATTAAACAGGTGGATGCCCACGGAATAATGTTGTCAATCGACGAAAGAAACTGACATTATTCTGATAATTTTGTTTCTAAGTAGAAAGTACCCACTCTTTACGTGGGATATATGTTTGTTACGAGAAGTTTTTGAGGGTAAAAAAAAAGGAGAAAAAATGTCGTCAATTGACTCCATAGATCCACTTCTCAGCAGTGTTCGTGTAACTAACCAACTCCTCGGGTTTAAACCATAGTTTGATTTCATCCTTGGCTGTCTCTGGGCCATCACTGCCATGGATTATATTTCTGGAAGCAGAGAATTATCTTACAGATAAGATATCCATTTACGTTGAACAAGCAGAGAAAATATAACTGTAGCACATAACGATTAAAACACAAAATACTTCTTAAGACATTTTTTTTCTTATGATTCATCAAGATAAGAGATTCAAGGTTAAGATTAGAAGCTTTATGGTCTGATTGTGGTTTTGTTCTCAACTGTTGCATATTTGGAAGGTATTATATGCACTCGCACTCACTCGACTTTTGTCATGTTGGCGCTTGAGCTTTTACATTTTTCCTTTTTATTTCGAGCAGGTCATTGAACTTAGACGTTCCTTACAATGTGGTCATTTCCTTCATATCCATTAGTTCAACTACACAAAAGCAAAGGTAAATTACTAATGTGCTACATCAACTTTTCCATTAGTCAACTAATGGAAATGGCCCGAGTAATCAAATTGTAATAAAGTTTTTAAGTTCAATGAAACTAAATGAAGTTTAATATCACGAACATTAGGCAGGATGTTCAATGATCACGTCTATTTGACACTATTCTGAAGGGAAGAACTCACCTTCCAACCACAACAGCCAAATCCCCTCGGATGGTTCCGGGTTCTGATTTCTGGGGATCAGTAGCTCCGATAAGTTTGCGACCATATTTTATTACTCCTTCACCTTCCCAAACCTGAAGAAGTAAAAAATTAAGCTCAGTTCCCTAAAGAAAAGTGTGAAGCAAGCAGATACAGTTGAACTCTTCTAACCATTGCAATGACTGGTCCAGAGCTAAGAAAATCACACAAGCCATTAAAGAATGGTCTCTCCTTCAGATCATGATAATGCTTCTGGGCAAAATCCTTTGAAGGAACCAAAATTTTGATGGCAACAAGCTTATAACCTTTGCGCTCAAAGCGAGATATGATTTCCGAAATCTGACACCCATGGATATTTTGTCAGAGATCGTGCAAAGATAGAACACATTAATACAAATATGTTGCCGACTCAGCCACAAGACCAAAAGTAACGAAGGGGGGAGGGAATCCAAGACTAGATTATATAACCGAATGCAGAAACATTGTCATAAAATTTGCGATGTTATCAAGCTTGTCATTATGGTATCTGCAGAAAGGAACCTTCCATGTAATAATAAAATAAGCTGGGCAGAATAATACCAGTCCTCTTTGCACTCCATCTGGCTTTATGGCAATAAAAGTGCGCTCCATCTTTTCAAACAACAAAAATTGCATTGTCAGCCAACAGAGAAAAGAATGGACAACAATGTCTCACATGCAAAAGTTAGGCCGGGCAAGCTGAAGTACCTCAGCAGCATGTGCCTCTTTCTCCTGAAGCATGTAAGCTAAGATTCAAACAAAAGATCAAGTCAGAATTCTAGTTGAAAGAAGCTGAGGGACGGGTAAGGCTAGGAAGATTTTAAGCTATTGGTAATTTGGTAGTGCAGGGGCTACTATGATCAACAAAAGGTACTTGTTTGAGATTGCATAGCACTGTGGGGAGAAACACAGGAATATTCTCAAATGAGAGCTATAATTTTAGTAAACTATTTTACCCCATTACTATGCAGAAGCATCAAATAATAGAAGAGGTACCGAAAGCACAATGCAAAACTTAAGCAAGGGACAAGGCACCTCTTCTATTAGCACCCTTGTAATCACTCAGATTCTCAAAACCTGAGTTACTTTTTGCCATTTCACCAGTTAAAAAAAAACTTGCACAACAAATAAAATGTATGAATTTGTACAGGGGACAAGTTAACTTGGAAATATACAAAAAGAAACTTGTTTAAAAGCATTGAGAGGGAAGAGTTTTGGGATAAGACCTGCTGCAGTAAGAGTAAGAACTCCAGAAACCCAGCCCCTATATGCATTTCCTGATTCAGATGCACCATATGAAGATAAAGCCAACACTCTTCCTCTACACATAAGAGCTGCAGCTGCTGCTCGTCCTCCTTCCATTACAAAGATAGATAATTAAGGTTTTTGATGTACAATTTTAAGCTTATTTATTTCTTGTTAGAAACTCCAGTAGGATTATAACATACCATAAAGATTAGTCAAATTCAGTTAAATAAAAAGTCACCAAAGCACTTCAGAAAATGTGTTTATTAGCACATTAGTCACTATGATGCAAGGCGGAAAAGAAAAAACTAAACAGATAAAAATTTATATCATCTAGCATAATGAAAAGCTCAAATTACGTATAAATAAAGTCAATTAATTACATAACTAAAAATAAAGAAAAAGGGTTAAACATTTAAGAAAGATTCAATTAATACAAAGCAAACTAAAAAATATTGGAAGAAACTAAAAAAATTTCATATTTCGCCGATCAAACATTTCCAAAGAATACTTGCACATTAAAAATACAACTAACTTTAATCTTGGCTAGTACAATTAAAAAGCTTAGATTACATGAAAATGAAACCAAATAATTACTTATTAATAAATAATAAAAATTTGGAAAGCATCTAATAAAGGTTCAAAAAACAAAAAATGAAATAAAATAAATGAAAGGGAAACATTTTTTTTTATAGCCGGTGCATTTTTATCTGATACTAACCCATTACTATTGTTGTTTAAGTGGCACTCACTTATTGGTGGCATTAGTATGACCCGGATTGTGTGCTTGTTTGGAACCATTTTCGACCCTTAGATTTAATCCACGGTTGGGATTAAATCTTGGCTTTGATATTTTACTTGGGCCTTAGCAATTGAAATCTTCTTCTCTTTCTCCCAGAAGCTGCCCCGTTTTTCCTCTCTCTCTGTCGGAAGCCGTTCTTCTTTCTTCTAACCTAAAATTGACCTTGGTAGCCTATTGTTGAGGGAATACTAGTGTGATGCTCAGACCTGAAATAGGGTTGAGTTATTTGGTTTATTCTCGAGGGTTTAGGTCAAATTTTAGGGGTTCCAGGCTGCTTTGGTAGATTCCTTTGGATCGATGACCTTAGCCAAGTTGTTGGAGACTTTGATTGGTTCTTATCTCTCTCTGGACGGTGAATTGCATGACGTGGAAGGCTGTTCCTGAGCATAGGCATTTCAGCCGAAAATAGGAGCAAGAACGGTGTGCTCCGGCCGGTAGAAGGGAAGTAGATTTCTGCCCCCTTTTTGTCTCGTTTTATGCTTTCAGTTTTCAGCTTCTATGTATTCTTATGACTTCTGCAATATATATGTTAATGTATGTTGGAGATTTTAGTTTATGCTGAATCTGTTGGTTATTGAACTGGGTTTGCCTCTGTTGATGAGTGTATATGCTGCTGTAATTCCTAACATTTCCCAAATCCAACATTGCCAAAGATACTTGCATATTCAAAATGCAAGTACTGATTTTTATCTTGGGTAGTATATAAAAAAGCTCAAATTACATCAAATAAAATCAACTAATTACTTAATTAGAAAGCAATGAAAATGCAGTAAATATCGAAAATTCAATTTTAGGAAAGAAACCATAAATATTTAGGGATCAAATATTTCAAAATGTCCTTTCATATTCAAATTTCAAATAACAATTCACTCGATAAAACTTTGAAATTGCATGAAACTGAAGTCACTTAATTACATAATTAATAAACAATGAAAATGAAGTAAATAAATTACTTAATTTATAAATAATGAAAATGCAGTAAACGTCAAAGAAAATTAAGCCCTTGTGTGAAGTTAATTATTGAGAAGTGATTTTGTGAAGAAGTGATTTTTTTAGAATGTGCCAATAAAAAGTAGAAAAAGTTATGAATTGACGTGCAAACGTATTTTATTTGAAGAATGACTGAATGAGCGAGTGAAAATGATTTTTAAATAATCAACATAATACAAGAGCTGAAAAGTAAAAAAGCAAACTAAAAAATATAAGGAAATCGTTTTTATCATATTTTAGGAATTTAACAAAAGGCAATTCACCGTACTTTTCAAAAAAGAAAATTGAAATTACCAGAAAAGATCCTGCTAAAAGGTAGCAGAGAGAATATTTCCCAGAAAAATTGAAATATAAATATAATATACCATAAAGATTAGTCAAATTCAGTTTGAAGTAAAAAAATTCATCCAAACCTTTTAAAAATTTATTATAAAGAGAAAAGGACAACTCCGCAAATGTTTGAAATTGCATAAAAATTAATTGCTGAATTAAAACAAGATGAAAATGAAGTAAACAACTAAAAAGGATTCAATTATAAAAAGGAAACTACAAAATATACGGAAAGCAAACTTTTTTCATATTTAATTAACATATCAGGCATTACCAATTACATATCAAAATTGCAAATCACGTTAATTTTCAGAAAATTGAAATTACCGGAAAAGGAACGAGAAGCCTGCTTAGAAGCAGCAGAGGTAATAGTCCTCGCAGATCTGCAAATCTGAAACCTCATTTTTCGAAAATAAAATCTCTTCTACTTATCCAGATATTAGAGTGGCATATAAAAGGAGATTACACTATTGTACCTCAGGCTGTTATTTTTGTACTCCTGCTGTGTTCTGGTGACTCGCTGGGTCAAAACTATAGTGCCAATAATTACGTACGCAATCTGATTTTACGGGTCGTTATGGAAGCTTTTACGATGTTGTTTCGGATTTGACTTGAAACACGTGACAGTTTAAGCCCCCAGCCTATTTTTGGTAAAATATATTTTGGAATAATAATTTTTTAAAAATATATATATACAAATTTATTTTATGGAAAGATGTGTTGTTAAAAAAATGTGTTTTGAAAAAATAATTTTTTTAAAAATGCAGGCCAAGCATAGAGCATGTTTATTGTGTTCAATCGATAATCTATAAAAGTCTTATAATAGTCAATCAAGACATTTTTAAACTTTTTAAAAGTACGTATAAGTTACGTACTTTCATCTGAATAACTTTTATAATATCTGTCGATTAATAATATTTTTATTTCTTCAATATTTCTCCTCTCTCTCATTGTCCGAAATCTAGAGCCATAATACAAAAAAGAAAAATTAATTTTTTTTCTATTTTCAACTTATTATTAATAATAATATTCTCTTTTTTTAAATTACCATTTATTTTTTCTATCTCTTCTTTTTAATCATATTCTCCTTTCTTTGTGAAAAAATATCAAATTCTTATAAGATTTTTCTCTCTTCTTTTTCATTGTTTCCCCCAATTTTTCTATGAAAAAGATTAATTTCGATTAAAATTTAACAAAAAAAAAATCGATTGATTTGTAATTCAATTTTTATATGTTAGTTTCTTATTTAATTTAATAACTTTCTACATGTTTGAGAGTATTGAAATGATATAATTTTTTTATATTTTTAAAATCACGGTGAATTATGTTGTGGATCATTTTCTCATGCAAGTAACGGTTCAAATTTTTGTTTACATTATAGTGTATAAATAAATAATTCAATAAAACAAGAATATGCAACAAGTTATATAGGCATATAACTTTATATACAAGATTGTTTCTAGAATGAAAGTTTATAAAAGCAAAAGTCATTAATACACCCTCTAAATGTTCCAGGTTGTATAGGATCCAGTAAAATTAATTTTTGTTAAAGTTTGATCCAAATTCCATTGAATATTTGTGAATTAGTTGAAGTGTGCCTTACAGATGTGAAAATATGGACTAAGAAGTGATTTAGCCGCACTCCTATTAGCTGCACGTCAAGCTCTCGCTCGAGCAGGCATAATAGGGAGCTGGCACCCGTTTGCGCCAGTCTGTCGCTCGAGAGGCGCTTCCACCGCTAACTTCCCGTTAGGGTGGCACTTGAACGATGGTGGCATCCGATCCACGATCCATTTCTAGTTTTGACGCATTTTTTATGCTATTTCCATATTTAAGACTATTGTTTGGGTTTTGAAATATAACCTATATATAGTTGGATCTTCTCTTACAAATTAAAAAAAAAAATTACACAATATTGTAAACACAATATTTTTGTATTATTTCTCCATATTATAGTGAATTCACCTTTCATTTGCCAAATTTTTGTGTTGTGATATTTACTTCATATTGTGCCACATAATATCTTCCATAATTCCAACAAAATTTCAATTATGAAAAGAAGGGGAGAAGGAAAATAAGTGAGAAGGGGAGAAGTCAAACTAATCGAATCACTATTCGCGACCCACAATTCTATTACACCATCAATTCAATCACCGTTCACCTTTTTTTCCCACGTCGGTTGTATAGGATCCACTCACTTTAATTTCCAAGTATGGAAAGAAGGGAGACGGAAAATAAGTGAGAAGTGCATAAGAAAAACTCTCATCCTAAAATAGTATAGAAAACAAATGAAAAGATAGAATCTTACCTTAAAGATAAAGCAAAGAAGTAAAATAAAAGTAAGTTTGTGGGTTTTATAGTTTGAACAATGCAATGTTTAATTCTGCAATTTTCTTTGATTCTCTCATTTTTTATTGTGTTCAACAATCGTTCTGCCACAGTTAGATATATATATATATTTTTGATGATATTTAGCCATTGTTTGGTCTTCGTTATTCCTAAAATGTATTTTTCTCTTATTTTCAATAATACATTTTTCAATAAAATAATATTACACGCAAATTTCAAAAACTTTTTCTATTTTTTTAACCACGCATTTTTCATTAAAATACTATTTCAAAATACATTTTGGACAAAAAATGGGCTCAAACGGACTCTTAGTTATGTCAGTCGGCTTATATTGAAAGATCCATCTTCAAAGATATTACTTCCACAGGTAGAAATTATTTTGACAGAATATAAAGACTTTTTGAATTAACAAAATTCTATAGTTGCCGGAAAAGAAAAGATCTTATATGAATTAGAACAGAAAATTGGCGATTGTCCATTATTGTTCTAAATTCTATAAAGAAATCACTTGTACAGCAGATAATCAATTTTTTCTCAAATTCTCAGCTACGGCCACAATAAGAATTGATATTTTCTTAAATATGGCCCCAAACACGATTCATCCATTAAAAATTCAGGATGTTCTTAAGCACAATTATCCTACAATTTCATTTGATTATATAATCTTTGAAGAAGAAGACATGTTTTATTCAGTCTTACAATTTGACATGATAGACATTATATATGTTCTAAACAGATCTTTTAGATTCTTTCCCCTAAACTTAAACAAACTCTTGATCAGTTAAAAGATCACATTTTAATGATCAAATTCACTTTCAAATCACCTCTTGTAATTTGTAAATAATAGTATAGTGATACCAGCTTATCCTTATATTATAATATTTGAAGAAGCCAAAAGATTTAGACCATCTTCAAAGACAAAAACCAAAATAAAAACTAGGCAGATTGATTACAAAAGACAGATCTTCAAGATAGCGGCAATAATAGAAATTCAAAATAATGATTTCAGACTTGTAGTGCAATGGAACAATGAAATTACTTTATGTCAAGAACATCTTGCTATAAAAGTAAAAATAGGAAAAATTCCAACACCAATTATTCAATAGAAATAATTATATCTAATGGCCTTTCAAGAAACAAATGGTGAATTATCATAAAGCGGATCAGATACAGAGGAAGAAGAATACATATCCAATGGAAAAACTAATGAAATGGACGTGAGCCTAGAAGAAGCTTACATAGAGATGATGAAAAAATAGTACAATAATTCAAAAAGAAGAAAAGACATAAAGACAAAGAAATGACCATTATTAAAAAGCAAGGAAGATAAACAACACTCAAAGGATAATTATCAACACAGAAAGTCAAAAAGAAGGAGCGTGAAGACGAATAATCTTAATTATGTTCATACAGTTATAAAGTTAATATGTATACCTTTAATTGTAAATCATACTCCTGTAAAGATATACAATATTGTTTACTTTGATGTGTGATGTACCAATATCTACTTCTCTATAAGAACCAAAGGCATTTCACAAGAACACACACCGTATAAAAAATAATAATAATAATAATAATAAAGAGCATACTGTAATACTTGTACTCAAAAAATCACTCGCAATCGTTCTAAACTCAAAGACTTCAAATTAAGGTAAGTTATTTTATACTTCCTTTTGCTTTATAATTCTCTTTTACTTTAATTATTTTTGGGGCAAGATCTAAAAGACGAAACACCAAGTAAGCAATTAATTTATTCAAAAGCAATATTATAATATTTTATTCTCTCGTCAAACATATTTTAGCACTCTTAGATTCTTTGTTCTGGATTTCTTGGCCAAAATATAAAGTAATTCTCTTAGTTAAGTTGGTTATGTTTTATCTCGATTAAGAGAGTTTGTTTAAATCTTTTAAACATGATGAATTTTTTTTTTAGTTATAGTCTTAAACCTTTTTAAGAATGTCAAGAAAAAAGCTACAAGGGAGTTTAAAAAAGAAAGAAATTAGCCCAATATATATTGCCCCTCCGCCCCTACTTATCTGTATCTTCAAAATAATATATAATCTTGTGGATATGAATTGATGAGTTATGTACGTAATGTTGCAAAATATATCTATTGACCTTAGGACGACAGATCAACGAAAATCTTTGCAAGAATTTGGCGATTGTTCACTTACAATTTTCTTATGAATAAATCATTGGAATTGAAGAACAATAAGTCATGAACTTGCTATCTAAATTTCATGATGATAGAACCAAGGGATGTTGAGATATCAATGTTTTGTTACAGTTTTGCAAGCTGTCCAAATTTTACGAATTTTCTAAGCTTTGGATTTCGACTTTTTCTCTCTATTTCGGTGAGCTCCTTCGTACTGATAACAAATTATAAAACAAAAGACATAAGAGAAGAATAAAATGAGTCAATGGACCCTATATATAGGGTTCAAAAGGAAAGTTACAATTTGATTAAAATAAACTCTTTTAGAGTATATATGACTTATCTAAGAATTTGATAAGACTAATATGATAATAATTATTATTATTTCATAATTTTACAACATTAAAAACAAAAGCTAAACAATGCGTGATTGGCCTTCGTAGTTAACCTACTACTCCAAGGTAATTTCAGTCATTTACGCTCTAGTGTCTACAATATTGAAAATGATTATTATATTTACATCACATTTTAATTATATTAAATTTATTTATTCACGAGGAATGATCTAATGAGTATCAGTATTCATCTTATCGATGACATAATTTAATGGTGGATCTCAATCATTGAATTAAATTTATTATCCACCAATAAATTATTATAACATGTCACCGGTTCTTAGCATAAGATGAGCACCGATACTCATTATATCATTCTTCATTTATGCATTATTACACTTATATCTTTAACTTTTTTCTTCCTCACATTTTTATGTTTAACATTTCATTAATCAGAAAATTTTGTCAATAATCATGTTTTTATTCAAAAATATTATTAAAGTGTTTTAAAATGGGGGGTCAAATATTTAATCTCGTTTTTACGATATTATTTATTTTGTTTATTAAAAATACAATAAGAAATTGAGTCTTTTTTGCTCTATTTCAATGAAAATTTAGGAGATAAACAATAATCATGAATAATTTATGTTACATTGAGAATAATAACGCAATAAAAAAAAGTTTTAAGACACAAATATAATAACGTGTAAAGATTATGAACTTTTATGCAATTAAAATGTAGTCTGGTTATTAAAAATTGCGGTATGAATATTTTTAGAGTCTATTTATTTTGGATTAAAATTTGATTTTAATCTAAGTTAAAGTCAAACAATCAATATAAATCACGTTTTTTATGAGTCTCATAACTTTTCAACCACACATTTCAAAAATTTATATCAAAATTTACTAAAAATTTAATTTAAATCCCCACTAAACACCCTATTACTCTATTGATGAGTTAATTGTCTCAATGGTTACTGAACTTATGTTTCTATCTTTGATTGCTCACCAAAGTTTAAGATGTCGAGTTTTGACCACTAAATTTATCTAAATGTTAGACGTTACTTACTGGGATATCATTCATTTGAAACCATTAATAAAATTAGTGACGTGGATAACGATATGCAGATGTGGTACCTCGCCACGCCGTTAATATATTGTTACATAAGAAAGTATCTATCTTTGTTTAACTCTCGAAAACGTATTCAATTGCTCAATAAATTTTGAAAAGAAAAATGTCTTTCATTGCTCACTGAACTTTGAAGTGGTAAAAATTTAAAGCGTCTTTCATTGCTCACTAAACTTTAGAAACGTCTTCAATTCCCGACTAAACTTTGAAAAACGTCCTCGATTGTTCATTGAATTTTGAGGTAATCGAATTTTGGCCACTAAACTTATTAAAATGACATCGGCATATTGTTCATTAAAAAAATGTACCACAAGCGTATAAGTCGTGTAAAAGTAATAAAGTGGACAAACGAATATGGGTTGTCTATCCCACGAGAAATGATTATTCAATTATACAACAGTTAAATTTAATTTTAACATAGTTTCGTAGGATTTTAAGTTGTTTTCATCATTTGAAAAATTCAAATTTATTGTGTTTCGTTGTTAAAATTAAATTAAAATAAAATCTGAATATTGCAATGAAACACATAATAAATTTAGTTAAATGAATTTTGCAAGGAAATAGACAATAAATTTAAGGATAATTATATTACAACTACAAATTTTAGTGCACTACAATTTTTGGTATTTTACTTATTTGCTTAAATAGCCTTAAGTGAAATTAAATAATTGAGGTTTTAATAAATTTTAAGAACATTTCCAATAGACTCTTTAAACATGAAATGCTCTCTATTTTAAATAGTAAACATTTAAAATTATGTTCTAAGAGACTCTTTAAATAAATATTTTAATTTAGAGAGTGGGTTTGACTCTCAAAATTTGGAGAGTCAAACTCAATCTCTATAATTAAATACATTCAAAGAGTTTCAATATTCAATATAGGAAAACAATAAAATAATCTAAAGAAAAATTAATTAAAATAAAAAAAAAGAAAAATAATAAATATTTTTTGAGAATAGTAAAATCAAGTGTTAAATATAAAGAGTTTGTTGGAGTACTGCAAAATTTTAACTCTCTAAATTTATAGATACTCTCCAAATAATATAATATGCTCTTTAAAAATAGAGAGTCCATTGAAGATACTATAATAAAAGTAATTATTGTTCCATCACAAATATAAACCTAATTTTTCTTTCTTCATTCTCAACATCCGACTGGCGACTACGCGCATAGCTTCTCCATGGACAACGGCTTTTGCTTTCTTCCACGGCGACGAGAATTTCCTCTTGAGTTACCTCGGCTGGTGATGCAGCCTCTTCTTTTTTCTCCTCGGTAACCATAAATGTCGAGACTTGCTCTAACACAAAGAAAATCAAACCTCGTAGATACGCAGTCCCGACTTTGGAAGCTGCTTCACACTCTGGTTTCGTTCCCGAAAATTCTTTCCAGGATAAGGAAAAAAACACGTTTATTAATCATGATAGAATGTACAGTTGCACTAATTCATTATTGTTTTGATGTTGGATTATAAATATCATCTCAAATTCCTTAAATATTTATTATACTTCCATGTTGTCCAAAAATGAACAAATGACAGATTCTACCTTGCTAAGCAAAGGTTCAACACTATTAAAAAGGCTACGATTCTTCCTTGGTGAAGCTTCTATAGAATATCAGCTCATCATAAAGTATTACGAAATTGTCCTTTATAGAAGCCATAATATGTGACTCACAGTTATGTAACTGCATCAGATTGTCCAGAAGAGAATCAATCACCACCACTTTATGCAAATCGAATGGAAGAGTTTCAAAATTTAAGGGCTCAAACAGGAATTATCATGACAACACTCACAGTTGTAGTATATACCTTGTTAGAGGAAGCAAGCTTGGGAGAGGATTGAGCGCTGGGGGCGGGGCGCTAACACTCGTGGATGATGAATAAGAATGATGGGAGAGAAGAAATAAGAAAGGGCACGAATGTGGTGTACTGTCTCTTTATTTCGTAACTTGAATAGGGTTGTATTCGTAAAATACTTAGTGTGTGTTTGTCAAAAATATGTTTTAATCGGAGTGTATCTATAATGTGATGTAAGAAGCAAATGTGGTGGCAATATATTCACTTAATTAAAATTTTGGATTTTTGCGATGAGAAATTTATTGTGTGTTTCATTGCAAAATTCAAATTTTGATTTAAAATAAATTTGAATTTTTCAAATGATGGAAATAGCTTAAAATTCTGCAAAAATAAGTTAAAATTAAATTTAATTATTGTGTAATTGGGTAAGCATTTTTGGTGAGATCGATAATCCGACTCGTTTGTCCACTGTTACTTTTTCGGGACCTGTGTGCTTACGGTACACATTTTTTAACAACGGGCCGACATTATTTTTTATAAGTTTAGTGGCTGAAATTCGACCACTTTCAGTGAGCAATCGAAAATGATTTTCAAAATTTAGTGAGCAATCGAAGACGTGACAATTTATTATAAGTGTGAATGAACGTCACATGTACGTTCCATTAGTCACATCGTTAATTCCATTAAAAAATTGAAACAAATGTTACGCCAATGAGCAACGTTCAATGTTTGGATAAATTTAATGGCCAAAACTGGACATCTTGAACTTCAACAAACAATTGAAAATACAAACATAAGTTAAGAGAAACATGTTTTTAATTTTTTTCAAACAACAAAAATCAAACCCCCAACTCACCTACCTCCGTCAACTCTCTCGCTCTCTCTCTCAATTCACTGTTCCTCATCATTTTTCTCTCCTATATATATATATATCGAGAATTATATGCACGCTCCATTCATGCATTTATACTTTCTTATGTCTACCTATATATTTAAACGTATCTTTATATGATATACAGCGGCGTAAAAATAGATTCTGTGTTTTTTTCTTACGCTGCCAGCGAGCGATCTGATTAGTAAAAGTCGTCGGAGTGTCAACGGTTGTTTTTCCGGCACCAAATTTTTTGGAATCCGATTAGTGTTTCGCTGGAGACATGTTATTCCGATTGATTTCTATTTGTTTCTGAAAGATTGACGTGGAACCGTTCTACTTAGGGTTTGGGGCTTTTGAAATTTTAGGGCTTTCTTGCGTGCCTTGGCAAATTATCTTGCATTGATAATTTTGAATTTTTGTTAGACGGCGTTATTTGGAGAGTTAAGGTTTGGGCTTGTGTCGAGTTAGAGAATTGAAACTACAGTTATGCCGCAGAGTTCGAGGCACAAATCACATAAACATAGCAAATACAGTTCGAAGGAGGCTAAGGATAAGGATTGTTCGGATTCTGAAGAAGATGTAAGGATGAAGGAGAAAAGTAGCAAAGGTGATTCGACAAGGGCTTATCGGGATTCTGCCAGTGGTGAGAAGCATAAAATTTCATTGCAGGTCCGGAAAGGCAAGGATGGTAAAGATCTGAGTTGTGATGGGAAGGGTGAGGCTTCAGAGGAGTACGTGTCTTCAAAGAGGAGAAAAGAGAAAGCTCACCTCAACAAGGAGAGGGCTGACGTAAGTGGAAGAGTTAGTGGTGATAGGTGGGATGGCGCTGGGGAGGAGAGAGGGCGTAGTGATAGGAATCTGGAGAAGGAAATAAATAAAGGGGGAAGTTCAAAAACTGACTTGAAGTTAAAGGAAAGTAATAATAAAGGGGAAAGTTTGAGATTTGAGTCTAAGAGTAAGAGCAAGAAGCATGAGAGTGGAACTGGGGGCGAGAGCAAGGAGAATGTGGAATCGTTGGTGGTGGAGAAAGATGAAAGTAAGAGTAAAAGGGAACCTAAGAGGAAATCTGAGAGGATTGCTTTGGAATGGAGTGAAGGGAAGGAATTGAAGGATAAGGAACGCAGGATAGACAAAGACAAAAAGGGTGGTCAGGAGAGTAAGCATGGTGATGCTGAGGCGAAGGCTATGGATGGGAATCTTGAGAACAATCAAAGCTCACAGTTGGGGGATTTAAGTGGAGATAGACAGCGCAAACGTGGTAGAGAAAATACTGGTAAGGTTATTGTTGTGGTATTCATGGGAATGATTTATGGCCTTTGTTTTGATGTGCCAATTCTTGTTTACTGTCATGGTTGATACTAGTAGTGGTAGCAATATTGTTTTAAAGACTTCGAATTTTGTGATCTTCTAACATGCCAGTAAAGTTCTGATCGTAATTTTGCAATTGCTAAATTAAAAAATATTGTACAAAGCACTTCTTGGATATTTCGAATCCAAAAAGCTATATGAGTTGGTTTGAATTCTTTATTCTTATAGTCTCTATTTGGGAATAATTTATAAATGGGTTAATTTATTAATAGATAGAATTGAGTGTGGATAAGTGGGTAGTACTTGTGGGTCCATTGGAATGTGTAATTAAAAATGAAATTTGACCGGTTATAAATTTTGCCGAACGGAGGCATAATTGATTTGTGGTCAGCGCTTGCGGAATTATGCCTTCACGTCATATTCAGTTGCAATCCGTAGGGCCTGGCACTAAAGGCCATTTTGAAAAACACTAAATCTCCTATAAATGTTTCATTGTTTCAAACAGAAACTAAAATTGGGTCTGCAAGAATACTCAGCCTGTTAAATAAGTGAATTCGTTGATGGTGATCTTGTTAATTATTAGACCTTCTCTGGCTTACACTCTTGCCTAGGCATTCTTCACTGTAGATCTCCTTTATGGTCTCCACTGTTTTAGTACTCATTGTATCTCTGACATATAATAGGATTACTTTAAGTGTATCTCTGAATTTATTGAAGCCAAAAGAAGTTTAATGGAGAACTCAAGCAGAAGCCATCAAATACTCCATGCATTAATCTCCAAAATATCCAATATATATGGTTGATACATGGACATGACTGGTTGGGAACTTGGGATGGGATCCTAGGTTGACCATTAGAATTAGAATTATGGTCTTATTGAGCTCCAATATTAGAGGAAAGTGGTGACAGTTATATAATTTATTTTTTATTCTCTCCAAGTGCGGACTGGAACAATTTCTTTTCCAAAAGATAATTTGAGCAAATGATGTAAAAAGTCGCTCATTAAACTTTTGAGGTACAAATGGACAACATTGGATCAATTCCTTTTTAGTTATTGACTAACTGTGGGATTACGCATGATTTTTAGAAGAGATTTCCATTTTTGTACAAACATATATTATTATTATTATTATTACCACCACCTTTCAGTGCATTGATTGTTCTTCTATGTTTGCATGTCTGAAAATTTGTAGTCTCTAGACATGATATATGGTGTTGACTGTAGCATATTTAAATGTATACTTGTGATTTGCTGAATTTTTAAAGTTTACTTTGAATTATAGGCATATTTTCTAATTGGTACACATTAAAATGGCCTTTTTGTTTTTAGTAGAGTAAGAGTGAGAAAAGAAAGAGGAAGAAGAGAAAAGAGAAGGAAGGGGAGGGAATCTAGAAGAAATTGATGGAGAAAGTATTAGATTGTTTCATAATCAAAGTGTACCTTGGAAACTCTAACAAATAATAACACCTTAAAATGATGAAGTTTAGATAATTGAAACTGCTAAAATATCAATTAATATCTATGTTCAAATCCCATCCCATCCCATCTCTTCAAATTTATATCTTTAATCCATATCTTCATTCCCCATCAGTAGTCCTTATTTTTATAAAGCTTTTCTTGAAAGTGGAATTTTTTTCTTGCTATTTGTATTTGTTGCTTGTAATGCTTTGAAGGGCAACAAAATCTGGTTTAGAGTTATTAATCACGACGTTAGCAGTGACCCTTTGTGTTCGGCTAGATAACTCGGACAGATTTTGTATTTATCGATTTTGCAGAAGTGTAGCTATACATAGGGTATATCAGCAAGATATCCCTTTCCAAAGTTTGATTCCTAATGTATGGAAAAGATGGGCTGCTGATGCTCTGTGGTGTTATTTTTGTTTGGTTGCTGGATTTCTGCTTGCAT